TAATCGATGTTGCTAGTAGGAAGGCGTCCCATAACACTTTAGCACATCTTTCTTTGAGGTAAATTCGTGCTCACGAACGCATGTTAAAATTATCGAAATGTACAATACCAAGTAGTATTGATACTTTTGACTGCGATACTTGGTATCTAGTAGGTATCGATACTTTCAAAATTTTCGCAACCCTACACTAATTGAAACGTGAAGTGATTGACGTTTGACATCAATTATTTGTCAAATTATTTTGTAATTGCGTGTTATTTGCCATTTTGTATGAAAAGTAAAAAAAATAATATGTTTCTCATGAACCGTAAGTTTCCGCAACCTAAAACTTTGCAAAACGCTTTCTTTTAGTGAGTACTATCTACAAAAAATATGGGCATTTAAATCGAAGGTCCATATTATAAAATTATAGTCAACTTAGGCAGTGTTATCTAAGAAAATGCAAGTAAAATAAGCAATATTAATAGTCAATAGAAATTAAATTTTTTTTTAATAAACTACACTATGTAAGTATTTCATTTTTGTATTAAGTGGCTATTAGCAATCAAGAACTTTTACTTAATACTATTCTTATTTCGTGAATTGTTATTGAGGTCAATTATTGTTTTATAGTTGTTACCTCATCTGACAAGAAATTAAAGAGTAATTCCATGTAACAGTTAAAGCTTTACCCATTTATGTTTTTGTTTATTTATACACAATTTATTTACCTAATTTAAAAGTTTGATGATGATTGTTTATGTTCAATTAAAACGTTCTTTGTCCATATTGACATTTAAAAACATTAGCTTTTGCAATTTTTGAGTTGTAAGCCTCATTCGCCGATTGTCTAATATTAATCCCGATATCGAAAACAACCTTTCGCAGAGAACTGAGGTTGCGACCATGTTGCGATGTGTTCTAACAATTGATGCTAAATTTGGGTACATTTTGCGATGAATTTTACACGATTTAATGGGATCGTTCAATTCTCCCGATGACGCTTTAAAGGGAAGTGGATAGTCATTTCAATACATGTCGACTTCTTTGACAGCCTTCGATAACGGAGTTCTTACGTTATAATTGCTTACAATTATACTGTCTAAAATATTAATAGGAGAGTATATATCACTTTTTTCTTTTTCCACTGAGGTTTCTTTTGGAACTGGTTGGAAATTAAACTGTTTTGATATTTGGTACTGTACCATTTCAATTAACTTATTTTTTTCCATACAACCGTTGCCAGCTCTTCAAAAGCCTTTAATTTAAATCTAGGATCTAAGAGAAGGCAGAGAGAAAAAGTTTAAATTTTCTATATTTTTAAATCTTCTAAACCCTTTCTTTAAATTTAACGCAACCAAGTACACAACATCACATAGGACACTGTCGTGCATCAATAAATTTAGGGTATCAGCTAGATATCTCGTATAAATTACTACATAACCCTCTATGATGTACTTTCCACTCACAGATCGTGTTCTTTATTCGAAGGGTCGCAATACTTGGCACAGCATTTTAAATGCCTTCCATTCTTCTAAAGATATGACGGGTAGATCTTTATTTATCACTGCCATGGTAGCAAGCAGTAGTTTTTTCTAATTCAATAAACCTTTCCAACATATAAAATGTTGAGTTCCATCTGGTCGGACAGTCTTGTTTCAACCGTTTTGGTGGAAGTCCGTGGTCCAATAGATATTTAGTTAATTTGTCTGCATCGGTGGTGCTCTGCTTAAAATAACGCACTATTACTTTCACTTTATCAATGGAAGATTCCATCGTTTTCAAACTAAATTGCACAATTAGGTTTAACGAATAGGCGTAGCATCTGTAGTGCTTTAGTTGTAAAATTTCTTTCATTGCTTTTAGCATAGCGGGCGCAGCGCGGTGATACGAGGGTGGATTGAAAAGTACTCGGCCTAACCAAGAAAATAAACACATACTAAATCAGTAATATTTTTATTTTTCTACATAATCACCATCAAGTTCAATACACTTTTGCCACCTCCCCTTCCAAGCATTTAGACCGTTGAAAAAAAATGATTCTTCCTTAGAGTCAAAATATGCGTCTACAGCTGCTTTGACCTCGTCGTTTGTCGAAAATCTTTGACCTCCCAAGTGCTTTTTTAGGTTAGGGAACAGAAAGAAGTCTGATGGTGCCAGATCAGGTGAATACGGCGGATGCGGTAACAGTTCAAAGCCACAGTTGTGAATTTCAGCCATTGACTGTACTGACGTGTGAACACGGGCGTTATCTTGATGAAACAGGACTTTTCTTCTGAGCATTCCTCGACGTTTTTCTTTTATTTCCTCTCGTAAACGACGTAGTAAGGTGCAGTAGTAATCAGAGTTTATAGTCTGACCCCTTTCAAGATAATCAATCATAATCACACCTTTCGAGTCCCAGAATACTGAAGCCATCACCTTATTTGCCAACAAAATCGACTTAGCCTTTTTTAGGGGGTGGTGAACCAGGTCTTCTCCACTGTTTTGATTGTTGTTTTGTTTCCGGTGTACAGTAATGAACCCATGTTTCGTCCATAGTAACAAAACGATTCAAAAAATCATCTGCATCGGTTTCAAATAACTCCAAACAGTCGCGTGAAATAGTCAATCGCGTCCTTTTTTGTTCAACTGAAAGCAGTCGCGGAACCCACCTCGCAGACACCTTGTGGAAACCCAACTCGTTGACAATGATTTTTTGAGTTCGTTCATAAGAGATGCCTATAATCTCGGCTATCTCTCTAATTTTTAATCTGCGGTCTCCCATTATTAAATCAAGTACTTTTTTAATATTTTCGTCAGTAGTTGACGTCGAAGGGCTTCCAGAGCGGGGTTCATCTTTCACACTCTCTCTACCACGCTTAAATTCTGCTATCCATTTTTTGACGGACGAATATGACAGAGCACAATCGCCTAATGTACTGACCATGTCATCATGGATGGCTTTTGATGATAGCCCCTTCTTATGGAGGTACTTAATGACGGCACGCTGCTCGATTTGCTCCATTCGCGGAAATTATGTCCGATTACTTTGTTAATAAATTTATAAAATCACAACTAATTATCGCACACGTTTCGAACTTCACACAATGAACTAGTCTGAACTGAACTAAATAATGTGGGTAGATTTGACTTTTAGAATTGAATGGATCTGTGTTAGGCCGAGTACTTTTCAATCCACCTAGGTAGAAAAGTTAATTTTTTTGAATATTTATATTATTCACATATTCGTTTGATCTCAGCTGCGATATTGTCGGCAGTGTGATTCCCAAAAAACTTGCAGCAGTCCAGTAATACAGCTGGAATTTCCATATTATTATTTATGTAGTGTCCTGTAACTGCTATTAGTTACCCGTAGAGGTGGATGTCCACAAGTCGGTTGTTATGCAAATTGATACTTTGTTTTAAATCATCATCTTAGTTTTATGGTAGATTTCTGGAAACATGCTATTACTAACAGTTTTTCGGAAAACATACCCTGGGATCCACCGCGCAAACTTCCTAATAAAACTTTCATTTACTAAACTAAACAGATGAAAAGCATCAATGAAGAGATCCATTAAGTCAGCGTCAATTGCTTTTTTTGGAATATAAGCATCAGTTTGGCTTTTGCCTCTTCGTTGGAGGAAAGGGAATGAATGGTACCGCTGGTACAATGTGATTCGATGACGCGACAACGACATCTGCGTCACGATAAGTGCTCGTAGACGATACAGCATATCAGCAATGCACACATTTCTGGATGTATTCTAAGAAGCCTGAAAATATCCTGGTGATAGACCCTGCCGGGTTTTCCGAATAATTAATTTTTTTTAATTCAGCGTAAGCAGCATGTGTTTAGATTTTGAATGGGTGGTTAGATTGCCTGTTGAACTTTTGTAACTAAAAAAACTTTAACATATATGTATTACATTGTCTTTTTTGAGTTATATTTTTTTTTGCAAATATGTCCAAAAACTGCCTGGAATTTTTACTAAATTAAATTATATCGAAGTTCTAGGAAGTACCTATTATTTACACCAATTATTTTTGATATTGACATTGTACGCACGAAGCACTACACCATCTGTCCCATACTGTCGCTGCATAAATTCGAAAAACAGAACAATTATAGCGAACACACTTTTGAATATATAAACAAACAAACCAAAAGTACCTACGTGACCTTCGTCGGTTGTTAAATTCAAAATGAGTGAAATGCAAGAGCAAAATGTAATTATTATTGTTTTAAATTTCATTTAAAGCTTTACATCAAACATAAGTGAATTATCAACTCTACAATTTAAAACATTATCTAGTACCGTAACCTGGTCCTAATGTGCACCAAAATTTGCTCTAACTTTTTTTTATTCCATTTATTTTTAAATCTTGCCTAAATCTATCAAAGTTTAACCTGACATATACGTTATTGTGTTTAGTGACCAACTTTTTTTATTTTTGTTTCTTATTTCTTTTGGAGCAAAGTAGTTCTTATGCAGGGGTAACTGCACCGTAATTTCTCTTCACAAGTTTGTCATTTATTTTTCAATGAGGCATAGTATTATTTTTTTTATAGGATAGGGTGACAAACGAGCACACAGTCCACCCGATGGTAAGTGGTTGCTGTGGCCCATAGACATCCACATCTATCCTCGATTACGAATCGAAATGCAGATGCGTTGTCACCCGTGAGGACTAAGATGGAATGCCTCGTTTCCAGTAAAAGGGTATCCGGTTCTCTACATTCACCATACGAAATACAGCAGCATTAAGCTACTATTTCACTCTGGTATTCTGTGAGAACGTGGTTCTTCCCCGGTCGAGCCGACCCATTCGTGCTACAACTCTACTTCTAATATAACTGCAACATGGCTCTACCACGTATAATTTACCATTATTTAGTCACTTTTACTTTGCTCCGATAGGACACCTTTATTTATGAGAGATCAATTTAAAAATCACATTGTGGTTTGCCATGGGACCAGTTTTCATAATTATTACAGTAGTTAACTAAAACAAAAAATAAGCGATATTGTTATGCACTAGCACAAATTATCGATAAAACATTCACAAGATGAATCTTTAGAATTTAAAATGGTGGGGTTTTCGTTTTCAACGTCACTTAGTGGCACTTCAGAGGAATCGCTTAGAGACATTTGATCATCACTTTCGCTGCTATCACCATTCATAATAGCAGAAGACGAACTAGAGACGGATTCTATTTCACCTGTTGTCGGAACAAACAAGCATCTGATCCGATATAATTTTAAAGTAAAGTAAAGTTACAGCCTATATACGTCCAACTGCTGGGCACAGAAGGAGCTGGGGGCGGCGACCCCGGAGCCCGCTGAGGGGAGGGGGGGCCTTCGGTCTCGGATTCTTCCTCTATCCTTTTGGTTTTCTTTTTGGTCTTTGTCCTCTTGGGCGCGGATGTGCCCTCTTCAGATTGACGTCGGGTTTTCCCCCGAGTGGCTACACCTGTGAACTAACTCTGTGATGGGTATTGTGATGCCTTGATGCAACACGTCCGGTCCTGGGCTCTCCTTTAGTCGATCCAAAGCGGCACCAAAGAACTCGTCGTTGAGGTCCATGTCGGCTTGACAAGACACGTTAATGTTCATTTTTTTCTTAAATATAATGAGTAGGACTCTTCTCTTTTAGTGTCTTCTCGTCCTTCGTCTCGGAGGTTCTTCTTCTTAGTCACTGTCAGACGTGGCAGGTCTTCGTTGTGTTACGGGATAGCCCAGTTTCATGAGTTTTTCTTTTGTTTTATCTGACATCTATCCTAGCTCAGCGTTTGCCACCTTCCTTATGTACCGATCAATAAGGTAAGCGTGATTGGAAACATGCGACTGAGAGATTTGGAAGTTTTCTCCCACTAGCTTGTTAACTTTGGCATACGCGATTGCTGCGTAATAAAGATCCGGGTAGTGAGAGTGGTTATGTTCTGTGTGCGCTAGAGGGTTTCTTACCCTGGTGTATGCGAAGTTGGGGTCATTTCTTCTTGCTTTGTCCCATCTACTTTGCAGCAATAAGGCTTGATCTAAAACGGCCGGGATTTCTAAGACCCGACAGTGTGATTTAATAAAAGTGTCCGTGTATTGGACAGCTTTCAATGAGGAAAACTCCCATACGAGCTTTATCTGAGCTAGAATGGCCCCTTGGATCCCGCTCAAATCTAGCTCAAGAACCCTGTCGACTATCTCTATTCTTAGCTCATCGCGAGTGGAAGCGATATTCTGAAATCTATTTATTTATTTAACAGTTTATGTACACACGTACTTTGATAGGAAAATGGTAAAAACAAAATTATGTACAAAGGCACTGCTTATTCCATAAAGAAATTTCTTCCAGCAGGCCTATTGAAGGATAGTTGAAGGAAATAAAGTAGTCAAAGTGTGCACTTTATTAACATATACAATAAAATACAAATTTACAAACCTTCATATATATTATACACATACGTACATACATACACATACATATATATACATATATATACATATACATATATATATACATATATATATATATATATATACATAAATATAAAATACAAATATAATATATTATAAGAAAAAAGATAATATAATTCAATATATTATATTTTTAATATTACATATATGAATATCTACACATCACGAATTAATCATTATGGTGTGAATGATAATGCTCTTTAACAAGTCTTTTAAACATAGACACCGACTTAGCGTCACGAATCCTAAAGGGAAGTGAATTCCACAATCGTACTGCATTAACAGTAAAAGAATGAGAATAGAGCATTGTATTGAAAGACGGAAATCTTAACAGTGTTCTAGTATTTGATCTACATGGAACATCTGGAGGATGAACAAAAGTAAAGCGATTTTTTAGATATAGCGTTAGCGTTTTTTAGATAGATCTAGTTGTTAGAGCGATCACCCCTTGCCATGACTCTGTTGGAAGGGTGTCGGCTACTGAGGCGGGGGCCAATGCTGCCTTCCACCTCTTGGTAAAGGCTGGCGTGTTTTGAACGGTGATAGGTTTGGCGAGGGTCATCATTGATGACAGGGCCAGTGCTAGAAGGCCTGCATCTATGACTGCGTCGGTTACATTCGGTCTCTCGGGTGCGGACACTGCTATGCGGGATCCGTCAAATGCTGAAGTTGTGAAGGGGGTTATTTATGACAGCACGGCTGAGAGGAGCAAATCATCCGTGTACGAGTTCTGCTCCATTTTTGTGACATTCTCTCCAATTTTCAATGTACTTGTATTGCCTCCGTGTGGTTATCACAAGGGTGTGGGTGCTCTCTGGTATTGTGAATGGCATCTTGGGTATGGGTGGATCCGGAAATCCGACTTTTTATAGTACGTAATCACAGGACAGTTGAGCATTATTCAAGTCCTAGCTACACTACAGTGGCTACGCTAACGGTATCTATGGGTTGGTTAGTGAGTCATCTATCCAAACAGCTGATTAGCTGGTTATCTAGCTGGCTATGCCTCCACAAATAACTGGCTAGCTAGGTTATTGCAATTTTGGCTAGTTACCCGTCGCTAGTACTAACTAACCCGGCGGGCGGACGGCGGCAGTGCTGCCAGTGTTGTAAAATCGATAAAAATGATTTTAATTAAGGCTTCTTTTAACCGTTTAATCTTTTGTAGCTTCTTCATAGAAGTAACGTCGACTCCGCATATTATTATTTTTCGAGAAGTTCGCTGATCAATCAAAAATGAATGTTCCCGTTTGGGTTCGTTTTCATCGGTCGGGCAGGTGTAATTCGTGATGGCATATGCATGCTAAAATATGAAATAGCTGCTTATTATTTACTCAATTTAGAATTACAATTTTTCTGAAGAACGCTTCATAATAGATTTGGGTAAATTTTTACATTTTAAATGGTAGGATTTTAACATTTGTATAACTTGTCTTCTAGTTACGGTCGGAATAGACGCAGTTTGCTAGATATTTCCAACTCCATGTGCCACAATATCACCTTTTTGTAAAAATATTGGCTCTTTCACAGTTTCCAGTTGCAATTTCAGTTGATGTCTGGTCCACTCGTAGTACTTCATCATATCTTCATAAGTAGGTAAAGTGTTCTCTTTAATATCTTGAATATTACCAAAAAGGGACACTTGAATGCACTAATGGTTCTTTCCATGCTTCAAATAACCAAGAAATATTGTGAAATAGATAAAAGCGTGACCTTTCAAATTGAAAAACAATAGCATACTCGCAGTGACACGATTAATGCGCGACAAACTACCTCCCGGGCATACGCCAAAATTATTTCCCGTGCGCGCCGTCATAACTTTAATTTGAAGTAAGCTTACGTAAAAACGATTTTTTATTGATTTATAATGAAAATAACCTATATTTTAAATTATAAAGTAAAACAAAATGTTACAATTTTTTAAATATTAGCATATTTACATAGCGTCAATCTTGGGTCGAAAATCATCTTTTTATAAAATTTCAATGACCTGGCAGAGGCATTTACTCTGAATCAATACAAATAATATTTTGCACCTGTTAATTTTATTCCTAAATGCACCTTTTGCGCGCTATTAGAATATGATAAGGTAAAAAAAATTTTCGCTCCACCCTTACAAACACTACTACTCCCTACTTTATATCCCGGACTGATATACTGTTGCATAATTCAGACTCTTCTTCAGAATCTGTGTCCCTTTGCAACAAGATAATATGTTTTCTCTTTTATTGTTATATAAGTTGTATTTTTTGGTTGTTTAGGGTTCAGAAAACCTAGAAAAATTGATAAAAAATCATGTACCTTAGAGTAACTGCAAAAATAACCCGCACAATCATGATGATCACAATTATTTTGACATCGTCACGGACGTGACTTCTACGGAAGTGAAGTAGGAAATTAGAAGAATTACTGAAATAGAGTTGTTTATTTTTTGTAATTAAATTATTTTAATATCACTGTATATGCCTTTGTACTCATTTCTCCACAATTCAATATTAATATAAGTAAGTAAAATAATAAATGTAAGAGAGCATTACCTGAGTGCAAGGAGCACGTGGCTACTAAAATAACATTACGGGGTCACTATAAGTACATATGGGTGAAATATGGCCATGTATGTGTCCCAGGGAAATGAGGATATCAGAGATTTCACCAAATCCCTAGGGATACCACGAAATCCCGGTAAATGTTGAATACTCTTATTTACGACGTCTTCTTCCTACAAAATGTTAGTGATATGACAAAGTAATAATATAAAATCCAGTGATATGTCTCTTCACTGAACTAAATCTAGTGAAATGAAGAGAGAATGAAGTCATAAAACAAAATTTCAAATTAACTGATGCATTTATTAGACAATGAAGTTTCAGTCAACTAAAAGGAGCAAAAGAAATATAGAGCTTTAAAGGTATGTGTAGTTAGACTTGGATATTTAAGACAACGACTGTAAAAAATGGAGACTTCGTTATTTATTTAAAAAAAGTGTTTGTGGCGCCTTGAATTACACGATACATTTAGTTTCTGGCAAATACATCTTTTGGTTTTGCACTGGACCTTTGATATTTCACAATTACATTTTTAAAGCCGTGCCCCCCATATCTTGAAACTCTTCCAGCTATCACTACAGTGTCAGTTCAATTTGTGGCACTGAATCTGTGAATATTATTTATGCTTTTTGAATCGAGTTTCGGGTCAACCAATACTTTAATATACCAGCAGAAGACCCAACACTAAAAAGATCTAAATAAAAATTAATAAAAATATTTTTGGAATCTAATGGTCCTCGATCAACTTTTGTAATGTCAATCAAAACAGTGTCAAAACAAAACAGTTTAGTTGAAGAAGCAGATTTCACATTTCACTTGATTCATATAAGTTTGATTCCTTTCTTGTATTGAATTTTTTTCTTAAGAACACAAAAAACATCACTTTAGACCTATAGCCTTCATCTCCTATTGTATCACCATAAATAACATGTACAGCTTGATTACAAATTCGACACGAATGGCCGTCGTCTGATTCGTTGTCACATACCCGACGCATCAACTTTTCTACGATATTCATGTCAATTGAACATTTTCTTGCACACTCTTGTCTTCTTGTGCTTTCTATATTTTTTGTCAAAATTTATCCTAAATCTTTATTTGTTATATGCTTATTGAGTAAATTAGCAGGTATATAGGTATATATATATATATATATATATATATATATATATATATATATATATATATATATATTCCGCCTTCCTTAATATAGGTTATATTCCTCCGTGATCATCTGTTCTGCTTCATTATTCCTCTCTTCTGAACATTCTGTTTCTTGCGTGCTTTCCATGTCAAAACTTCTTCTGATCTTCTTTGGCCAGATTTATAAAGGTTCAAAAGATAACTCAGCAGCTCTTTTAGATGTAAGCGGTGTTAAAAAAGTAAATTCTGCGAAGTGGTCCTGATGGTTCAGTAACCATTTATATATGTCGTCTGGAGTGGATTGAAGATCAATTAAATCAACCTGTCTCCTATTATTAAATTCACTTGAAATAATTGGACGAACCACAATTCCTTTTCTAGGAAAAGTTTTTTTTGATGAACAAACATGACAAAGTTTAATGAATGTAGTTACAGCTTGTGTTGGTTTGAAATATT